CTTTTTATACTAAGAACTACCCGTCCTTTATTTACAATAATTTTCCAATACCTATCACCTATGTTAGACAGTCTGTCTCTGCTCTGAACCAATCCAGAAGTGTCACCATCACAGCAGAAGATGGAGGACAAGAAGGAGAAGAAGGCCAGGACATGCCCAGCTTCTTCCATCTTGCCTCTTGAACCTCCATTCTAAACCCCTAAAATTCTACTTTTTCACCCTGTGACAAATTCACTATCATTCTACTCAAACTCTCGTGGCTTGTAACTCCTCACATAAGGTTGGTAATTGTTTCCATTGGCTAAAATCAAAGGCACAGGTGTTTGTGACTCCAAAGTCACAAGGTCTGTGAGCCCCCTGGCAGGGTCTGGAATCACCCAGGGCAGCCAGAGCAATGTCCTGGGTTCTGAAAGGGAAGAATCCCTCAGGTGGGCACATTTCTAGCGTGCAGCTATAAGAAATACAAAATAATACCAAAAAAACCCAACATAAAATACAAAAAAAATACAAAACCCCTTCAGAACCATGCCAGAGAATACCTGTCGTGCTCAACACTCAGCAGTGCTGGGATTTAGCTTTGCTATTTTTTGGTAAGTGGCCACATTTACAACAGATTGTAAAACTCCAAAGAACTTAAATATCAGCAAAAAAAAAATCTCATGGATTCATCCTTATGGTGTTTGGAAAGGTTGATTCCTTTTGCCTACCAAGTGATTTATCAGCAGCTTTCAAAGTGACATTTTTGTTCTGTGTTACCATGTCATGGCTGTCTTATAAAGTGTCACAGCTCTAATGGCTTGTCTTCTGCTGTCATTCTGGCTGGCTTTAGGCAGCTCAGACACTTGCTGCCGGCGTGTTTGCAGCAAATTCTTATTTGATTCTTCCTCTTAGCTGCAAGAGACTAAAGCTGTGCCTTGCTTAGGCTTTATTCAGGTGCTGTGCCTCTCACCCAGGGATCTGAGGCTCTCTCGAGCAGCAGAGCTCTCATCTGTCACATCTCTGTTCTCTCGTTCTTGCTGGGTTGTATGTTTTGTGTTACACTAAACACACGTTTGGTATATTTTTATTTATTTCTTTATTTGGAGATTACCTTTATACATAGTGCACAGATGTGGAACTTCACCTGCTATTGAAGTGAAGGGAGATGACCCATCTTAATTGATCAGCATCAAACTCCGATTTATTGATTCAATCAGTCACTTTTTATAACAGTGTTAATTAAGCTCATACATATTGCAAAATCTGAGCTCATCATAGGTTACAGATTAAACATTAATCTCTCCTTTTGTTTTCAATACCTGTGGTTTGTTATTGAAACCAAGATTTGTGTTCTCACCCTGGTATGAAAGGCTCTCAAGGCCTTCATGTTTGTCACTTTTGCTTTCCCACACCTTATCCAAGGACAAGATATTTACTTGTTATTAAAAACAACCTGAGAACTTCTGCTGTTTACATAAACGTGCCTGAGAGCTTTTGTTGTTTACAGAAACAGACTTTGAGAATTTGCTCCTCACAGCTGCCTTTTACTTTTCCATCAGCTGTATATTTTCATGGCCTTTTTTCCTTCAAGCCATGTCTGAGCAAAATTCTCCAACAACCTGCCATGTGATAGAGGAGGTTGTGGCATTCACATTTTCTGGAAAAATCCCTTCACTTAGGATTTTTCTCCTGGGAAGCTGAGAAGCTTCAGAGAAAAAGGAGAACAATATTATCTGATTTACTTTTCTTGTGTTTTGCTTTTTTGGAATGTGTTTAAAAACGGTTTACTGACAGGTGATTGTTTCTTTAGAGTTTTGGTGTGAATGTTTTGATTCAATGGCTAATGAGTATTGAGTTGTGTCAGGGCTCTGGAAAGAGAGTAATGAGTTTTCATTATTATTTTTTAAACCTTTTATAAGTATCTTTTCTATATTCTTTAGTATAGTTTAGTATAGCATTTTTAATACAATATAGTATCATAAAACAATAAATTAGCCTTCTGAGAGCATGGAGTCAGATTTATCATTCCTTCCTTCCACAAGAATCCCAACAAATACAACAGGAGGTCAAAGGAGTGCGCCTGGCATTATTTACAGGAGGTGGAAGGATTTATGGTGGTCATTCCAGCTCTGGGCTGGTGATGGAAAATGCTCTCTGCCTCCTGCCCTGAGTCACTTTTTCAGTTTTGGGCTGGTTTGTTGCTGTTGCTCTGCAGGATTGTTTGACTGTGCAGTGATTTTTTTTTTCCTTACCCAAATATCCCAATGACTTTAAATAGTTGGATATAATAAGTGTAAGGTGTGGGCCTTCAATCCCCTTCACTGACTCCTTACCCACAGATTTGTCTTTCTGGAGGAATTATTATCAGAGGAATCTCCATCCCTTTTCTCTAGGCCACAAACTTGCAGCTCCTTTCACAGAATTTACAGAATTCACAGAATTTGACAGAATTCACAGAATTCAAGGCCCTGGAGCCCAGCCCAGCCCCTGGCACCCAGTGCCACCTCCAGGCTGGTTAAACACACCCAGGGATGGCGACTGCACCCCCTCCCCAGCAGCCATTGCAGAACTTTCTCCCCCTTGCTGGAAAAGCTTTTTGCTGCTCTCCCAGCTGGATTTCCCTTGGTGCAGTTTGAGATACTCTTCTTGCAAAGATTTGCTTGGAAATGTCCAGCCAGAGGTTCAGGAGGGGTTTTCTGAACAACAGAAATGTCACAGAACTGAAGTGAGAATAAATAAGGGAAGAATAAAAGGGAAGAATTAAATTTAAGGATATGTGGGATGAGTTTGGGATGGGGAATCTGCAGCCATCTTCCTGTGACCCATGAGGCCCAGAAAAACTTTGAGTTCTGCAGATTTTGCTCCAGAAAGACAAAAACTTGGAGCAAGACCATTCCCAAGATTGATCCTTCAGTGCAGCAGAACATCAAGGCTGGGTATTCCTGTTTTCTGTGGGAGTTTGGGATGGGTTCAGCCCTGGTGTGTGGTGAAATTTGGAGTGATTTCCACTGGCTGTTCCTGAGCAGCATTGCTGGAACTCAGACCTGTGGAGGTGTGAGCACTCAAAGTGCTTTCTGTGCTGGGCAGACAATGCCTGACCAAGATCTCTGGGAAAAGTGTGCCAAGAAAAACAAAACCAACCCCCTTAGAAAGGTTTCTTTGTTCTTGGCTGCCAGGGGGAGTGAGAAAAGCTTCCAGAAGAGCTTTTATAATGCATAAAAGCAGCACTTTAACATCCATAATCTCTTGCTGGTTTAGGGTAAGAGATGAGCATTGACTGGCATGAAAGGGAGGAAATGCTGCATTTCTTTGTTCAAAATCCTGTTGGTGTTTGTACCTCAGTTCCACTGGAGTGGCTTAAAATATTTTTACCTCAGAGTGTAAGAAAACCTTTGATCCCAAAGCCTAAATTATCTCTAACCTGCTTTTCTGTGTAAGGATAATTTTTGGTGAGGAAATCCTTTATATGCAGCAGAGGGAGCAGAAAACTCAGTTTTAAAAGTGTTTAAAGCTGATGGG